CTCCTCCTCCGTCGACAATCCAAACTCGTGACCTCGGATCTGGGTATGTGCGTTTTCAAACCAAGTGAGATGTGGGTGTTTAATCGAACAATGAATCAAACTAAAACATTATATTCATATAGGTTTTCTGTTTTTAATTAAAAAATCATAGGATTCGAAAAAATGCAAAATGTGTCACCATGTGACATCAAACTCGTGACCTCGGATCTGGGTATGTGCGTTTTCAAACAAAGTGAGATGTGGGTATTTAATCGAACAATGAAGCAAACTAAAATATTATATTCATATAGGTTTTCTGTTTTTAATAATAAAATTGTAGGATTCAAAAAAAGTAAAATGTGTTTTTTCCAAAAACACTTCAAAAAACGTCAAAAATGTTTTTGACGATAAGAAGAAAATCAGGAAGGAGAATAATAGATTTAGGAAATATCTACCAAATAAAACATTTTTGGAAAGTAAATAACTCATGATTTAATGGTCATATATTTAGGGGATTAAAATTAACTTTGGTAGAATATATTTTCTACCATTTGGTAGAAAATAGAGAAAGAGATAAATAAAAGAGGTAGAATATGTATTCTGTATATCGTAGAAGACAAAGTCATTGGTAGAAATAGCATTCTGCATTTTGTAGTACTGAAGCAAAATGGTGAAATGTGCAATCTGCGATATGTAGAACTTGAGCAATTAGTAGAATACTTCCTTCTAGCACTCGTAGATTTATACAAATTCGCAGAATACCTAATCTACTAGTAAATTCGACTATGGTAGAAGGAAAAATAAATAATTTTTTGTCATAGTTTTTTTTGAAAAAAAAATATAAACATGAATCTATATACCTTGTACGTTACTCTTTTGTATTTTCCTGATTTTATAAAATTATAAAAACTATTTATTTATAATTTTCAATATTAATCAAATGGTAATGAAGGAAAAAATTGGCAAAAAAAAAACAAAGGTTATTGGGACAAAACCAATTTCAATGTGAGTCAATTTCTTATTATTTCATATTTAAGCATCTATTGAAACCTTTCTGGTTATCAATTTCGGAACTTGAGGTAAAAAAAAAAAAAAACGTAGACATTACCACTACAATGTTGATGTGTGGAAAAATGCGTTTTATAGTTTCTATGAAGTTTTATAATTAAGAAAACAATCATGTAAAAAACAATGAAGTTCTTAGAAATGTATTCAACTAAGAGTTGTG